TGGCTAGGGCCTTCCGTCCTCCTCGAGATGGTCTCGCCTCCCTGGGCTCAGGGTCCCTCGGCCTCTAACTCCTCTGCCGCCTCTCGACTCTGGGCTGAGGGAGCTCTGGCCATTGAAAGGCCTCTCTCAAATGTGCCCTGCAGCTCTCCCAATCTCGTGCCATGTCCCTGATCTGCATAGTCAGTGGCCTTTCTGCCTTCCTGGTCCAGAGTGGCAGCGTCTGTATCCAATCATCTCTCAGTATGCCCTGCTCTTGCATGAACCACTCAAACGCGGGGATGAAGTTCGACGCATTTCCAATCTCCAGGCAGATCGGCCTGCCATCAGGTCCCACAGGCGAGGGTCGCAACTCCTCCATCCTCATCTCCACCTCCTGCCTCGTCGTCGCCTCCCTATGAATCCTGGTAACGGGCTCTTCGAACCTACCTGCTCCCCTCAATCTCTCAATCGCCTGAGCGACGGTCCAGCCCATACGCCTCGCATGCTCCCAGAAACTGTCCATGAATAGCTCGATGTCCCCATCATTGTAGACTGGAGTACTCTCTCGATGGCGAGACCAATGCCGCTCATATCCTCCTGATGCGCCCAACGACCTCTGAGGCAGCCGTGTCCCCTTCCCTCCTCTTGGCATGGCTGTCTTCGTAAAGTCAGACCTGCACAACAGGCGAAGGAGACAACAGGCACACATTGGGGTAAGCAAGCAGGTGATAATCAGAGCAAGCTCAGACCAGACCACACTCATGCAGCATGTATCCTTCCTAACCTACACACCCTGTTATTTCTATTCTAAAGGCGGTCATGTCATCTCTCTTACCTCTTCTCTCGCCACAAATTTCTTTAGTCGTGTTCCAGATACCCAATCCTTCCACTCAGTCCCATTTAACTCCTCGATCTGGTACGCTCCGAAGTCTCCGACCCGTGCGATTCGGTAGGGACCTAACCACCTCTTATCGAGCTTCCTGGACCACTGCTTCTCCAGCGATATATCGTAGAGAAGCACGACATCCCCAACTGCCAAGGGTACTTTTCTCACTCGCGCGGACTGATCCCATCGAGCCTTATCATTCATACGGCTTCTCGCCACCTGATCAGATGCCTCCTGAATCCTTTCTTCTATCGCCCCAACCTGCCGCGCCCGAATATCGAGCAATTCTTCAAATGACAGGTTAACTTCCAGATCCTGGCGCCTCCATGTCTTAAGAAAACTTTCGATAGGGAAGGTGGCATGCCTTCCGTACCACAGCGTCGCAGGTGCGTACTTGGTGGATCTCTTTACTGTAATATTCTCGACAAAGAAAGCCGCCCTTAGGTATCTTGGCCATTGATTAGGCCTACCTTCGGTCCATTTGGCCAGGAGATTCGTAATGGTACTATGTCCTCTTTCTACGGGAGCATTTGCTTGGGGGTGCGCAGCCGTGGTGTAGTTGGCTGCCACACCATACCTTGATAACAGTTCTTGCACCTCCTGGCAGGTAAACTTTGATCCCCTGTCCATTACGAATTCCCTGACGAAGGGATAACGCAGGTAGTACTCCTCGATGCAGCTCACCAGGACTGACCCGGTCTTTGTGCGAATAGCACGCCCGTCTACGAACCCAGACAGGTTATCGCGCGCATCGAAGATATAGAAATAGCCTTGATCCCCAAGTGGCATAAAAAGTAGATCGAGATGCACTACAGCCCCCACCTCTCGCTCTAGCCTGGGATGCAGCGGCTCTCCTTGCCTTAAACGGGATCTTTCCTGGCAAGGTACGCAAGATCGGCAGAACTTTCCGACCATATTCATCATCCCATCCCAGTAGTACAACTCACTTATTTCGGCATACGTGGCTTGTACCCCTCGATGTCCTCCTGCAATACCATCGTGAAGCGCTGCTACGACGTCGATCTGACGATTCCTACCGCAGACGACTCTCATGGGATTCCCCATTTCCCTTCTCACGAAAAGGTGACCGTCTCGCACTAAGTAGCGCTGTAGCATCCTTTGAGCCCTATCGCTCGTATCTCTTAGCCGCATTTCACATGACAGAAGAAGCCCCATCTCTAGGTAGATCCCGTCGTACTCCACTGCACGAGAAGCTTCCTTAATTTCCCCTTCCTCGAACTCGTCGTCCTGGCTCTCGGGTATTTCGTCCACATTCCCTGCCGGGTTCAACGAGCCTGACTGGTCTAGGCTTTCCTGCAATAACGTATTGACGAGGAGATACATTCCTCCCATCAGGTCCTCATGTCGTTATACCTGGCCAGGTCCTTCCTCAATCGTCCTCATATCCTCCACCAGGCTATGCGAGCTGACCAGCGCTAATTCCATCATCCATTGAACATCCTTACCGCCTCAGGGATCCTCTTCTTTAAAGGGTTTGAGGACCAACTCGGTCCTCCTTTCATATCCGCTCGGCGCTTGCCAAATAGGATAGCCTACACAGCTCGGCACGCGCGGCGACCACTTATTGATATGGAGACAAACATCTTCTTCCTGATCTAGAAATCCATTCAACTGGGGGCGTATTCTCCACCGCCTCCCCTTCCTGCTTATCCCAGTTGATCCGACTCAGCCCGTCTGCCCGGTTCTTACTACCAGGAATCCGTTCTAATTCGAAATTGAACATCCAGATGTACGTCAGCCATCTTGCAATCATCGGATCCGATGGGACGTAATTCCTTAGAGAGTAGGCCAGGGCGGTCGGATCCACTCTCAAAATAAATTTTCTGCCGAAGCGATAGTTCCGGAAGATTCGCAGACAGTGAAGGACAGCAAGGGTCTCTCTCTTGAACTGAAAGTAGTTCCTCTCTGTCGTACTAAGAGTCCGGCTCTCAAATCGCAAGGGTCTTTCCTTTCCTTCCATGTCTGCCTGTATTAGAACTCCCCCTAAGGCGGTCGGTCCCGCATCCGTTTCGACAATGAAGGGTCGYRTCTCTGTRRCGTCATAATCTGGCGCKCCTAACACCAACCCTCCTTCTCGGAATTCCTCTTTCATTTTTGCCACCACCTCTTCTTGTTCCT